AAAATAGTATCAGTATAGTACAAAAATAGAGTCAATTTGGATTTATTTAGAGTTCAGGTCTAATCGCGACCAAATTTTTGGACCAATCCGTACTTAGATTTTACTATGACTAAAAATTATTGTTTTTTTTTTCTCAAAGTATTTCATTTGTTAACGATATGAATAAATAATATGTACTATTATACCTTTTTTTCGACTAATTTGAATGACTTTTTTGTTTTGAGAAATACCTCAAGACCTGTTAAGCACCAAATATTCATCATTTGATATACATAGACTAAGGTTTGTGTCATTTAAAGGAAAGTATACTATAGTTTGTAGTAGTTTTCGTGCACATACTAGGCTATTTCGGAGCTAGTCATCGTCCTGTATTTTTATCCACTTTTTTTCAATAGAATTTTCGGATTTTTAGTTTATTTATTATACGAAAATTATTAAGAAAGTATTATCTAACTAAAATCAATTAACATTCAAAAACAAATGTTGTCGAAATTATATCTAACATGCTCTGACCAAACTGAATGAGTAATATTGAGTTGTGGTGCCCAACGTGGGGCTTAAAAACAGTTGCAAGAAACAAATGGAATTCTAGAGTTTATATTGTAAACGAAAATGACTAGCAGACTAAAAAATCAACTGTCGACTTAAGATCCTGTGTTAATACAGAGAATTTATACTGTTTTCCATATATTTCGTTTAAATATTTCCAGTAAAAAATGTCTCTATCAAATAAAACGAATTTGTTAAGATTGTAACATTAATTTTTAGGTTATGTTTGATCTAGAGAGAAGATAGGTACTAGTAGAGTGTAAATTTTTCTCGGTCAATCATATTAATTGCCTCTGTATGTCTCTGAGGGTTTGATTATTGTATTGTGGATAAAAATACAAGACAAATCGTGTTCCTTGGAATAAAATTACACACAAATATAATACAACCTACGCTAACAGCTTATGATTGGCTGCAAATAGCAGTTGAAATCTACAAACAGAAACAGATAACGGTAAAAAAAATTCAGATAGAAACTATCACATTTCTAAAAGTTATTCCCGTAGAGTACTTGTGACATTTCAAAGACATTAAGTAACAAAGTAAGTATATCGTAATCAGAGCAATTTTAAAGGCACATTATCGGTACTCATATTTCCTTAGCTGCCCCGTAGCTTCTTTTTCAAAAAAACATATTGTGCTTCACCCCCAGTCTTCACAGCACCCTGTTGATTGTTTCAGATACAAGCGGGCATTCAACTACCACTGTTCTGTTTGTAGAAATAACTTGAAAGACTTAACTAACTTTAAAGCTTCTTTTGACAAGCAGACATTTACCTGCCACATTGGAATTATTTTTAATATGAGAACTATATCCCATAGTCCAATCTGTCTAGAATTTTTACATAAAAATTGTTCGCTACTAAATTCTGTACAAATATTCTAAATGAGTTTTTACAAAATATTTTCAAAACGTTTTTTACAAAAAGTTGAGTAGTAATGATATATTGAAATATATGAAGTGAATGGTAAACTCAATACAAGTTATCGAAATGAGGAGTCTGAATTTGAACCGTCGTTTAAAAAAAAACTCGATAGTTGGGAAATAATTGCACATTCAAAAAGTTGGAAATACGAGGGAATAAAGAATCAGTTCTTTTTGTACTATCAAGTAAACGTAATTGTTACTCCTAGTGCTGAAATATTTTTTCACTACAACGAACTTTTACCAACAGTATTGTGGAATCAATGTAAACACATCATATTTTTCAGTTTTACTTCGTTTTAACAGTTGGCAACATTTTTGTTATTTGAAATAATAAGCTACACTAACGTTTTATTTGCTTCTTTTTTCTTTAAGATAAATATTACTCCCAAAACGCACACTAAGATTGTTAATTTAAGGAAACATATAAATGATTTAAAAAGATACTAAAATATGTGTAGTAGTTTAGGAGCTATAACAATATTTTGAAGCAAAAAAGACACTGTGATGATTGCGTTGAATAGAAAAGGAAGAAAATGACAACAACAGGTTCAAAACTTTCTAAATTTATAAAAAAAATACATTTAACCCAATACTGATTGCTGTCATAAACGATTGGAAAAAATATATGAGTTGGACTCTTATTCATTCTGTAGAGTTGTCAATTTGTAGTTTTAATCGATTATTGTTCATTCTCACCACTCCCAAGATCGTACCACTTCAAACTTGTATTTCTTGGCAAAATTGCTATGCGACAATCATTACTACCTTATTTTTTGCAAGATTCTTTCGCCAACTGGGACGAAATGCTGATTTTAAACAAATAATTAATGATTTGTAAGATTTTTACTAAATTTCCAATGAAAAGATTATCAACAGTATATTTAGGTTACCCAAAAAAATATGTCAATTACAGTAATTTATAAAAAGCATCAATTTCAATAACAAGATCGGAAAAATTGTTATCTACAGATTGGATAGTCCTATTAAAACAACAACGTAACATACGTTTTAAAATTAAATGTGGAAGAGAAGATTTAACTTAAAGGCAAACATTATCCGAAAAAAAAAATTATATAAGCGTAATCCGAACTCCAGAAGGACTGGACTAAAAAAATTGGAAATATTACAAACTAATGGCTAAATATAAATAAAGTCGAACAATAAACAATTGGATTGACACGGTGCATTTTTTTGGTAAAAAATAAAGTTACCAATAGCTTTGGTATTATTGGAATACAAATATAGTACACAAAATAATTAAAAGAAGATTTATTTATCTCTTCACTCAGTTTTTAATTATAGAACAAGTTAAATAATTATATATCTCGTGAAAAGACTAATATTTTGTTTTTCTTACGAAACAATCAAAATATGTATATACAAATGCAGCATAAAATCACATCGAATATGTAAGTTAACTTTCTTAATCTTCGTGAGGCATCGATGCGTTATAAGCTATAATATTGCAGATGACGCATTTTTGCGTCATCTGTTTTATGAAACTTACGTTTTTGACAGGATAACTGAGCCAAAAACGTTAGTAACATTCAGCGTACTAGTTGAAATATAGGCTGGAACTTCTATAACTTTACACCAAGGAGAAAAGAGACAGGTTTGTTGAGATATAATATAAATTTTATAATAGACTACTTAGAACGTTTTAGTTTCAATTGAGAATTTTGTATTTTGCACGAAACAATCAAAAGATGAGTATACTTTGGCTAACTTACTCAATGCTCGTGACGCACCGATGCGTTATAAGCTATAATATTGCAGATAACACATTTCTGCGTCATCTGTTTTATGAAACTTGTCAGTTTTGACAGGATAAGTCCAAAATACCGTCAAATACGTTAAGATTCAGTGTAGTAGTTGAAATGAAGCCTGGGACCTCTACAATTTAATACCACAGGGCAAAACAGGCAGGTTCTTTGAAATATCGTTTTTTTTTTACTTTTATAAGGAATGACTTCGAGATCATTTTAGTTTCAATTGAGAATTTTGTTTTTTGATACCAACCATCAAAAGATGAGTATATATGTTGCATTATGATGACAATGATGAACACATGACGCATTTTTACGTCATCTGTTTTATGAAACTTGGTCAGTTTTTGACAGGATAAGTAAAAATAATGTCAAAAACGTTAATAACACTCGATCTAATAGTCGAAATATAGCCTGGAACTTCTACAATTTAACGCCAAGGAGCAAAAACAGGCAGATTCGTTGAAAAATCGTAATGTTGTACTTTTATAATGGACTACTTTGAAAAAAAGTGTCAATCGAAATTATCGAAGCCATTTTAAAAATACGAAATAACAAAGCCGCTGGTAATCTGACAAAGGAAAGAAATACCAGCGGACTGGAAACTTGGTATGTTACGCCCACTTCACAAAAAGCAAGACATCTGGTGTGTGATAACTATAAGGCACCAAAGGGATATAAAATACTGTCCAATGCATACCATACAAACAAATAGAGGCGGATACGAGTACAACTTTTGATCTAATATATTAACAATCGACCCACCACATATTCGTGGATTTTAAAGCCGCTTATGACTCAGTAAGAGAACTAACACCGTACCGATCACAAGTGTTAGGATCCAAAACGACATTTCAATGCCATTCCATTTTATAATAGACCAAGACAGGGACACTGACTGTTTTGCCTTCTATTTAAGTCAAATTTAAAGCAGATTGAAGACGGTTCGGGTACGAAATCTGACGGCCTGTAAAAGTTAACAACCGTGAAAGACTAATTAGTACTCATAAAAGTTTAGGTTCGACAGTTGTTGAATAAGTAGAAAGAGAACAAGAACAATACAAAAACAATATAAGTATACTAAAAAAACAAAGTCAGCAAAATTTAATAGATGATTAACAAACCTAGAATGACTGGAAAAACAGAAAAGAAGTAAGTATATTTGAGCTGCGACATATTTTTTAAGAAAACAAAATTGTAATATTTGCAAGTATATGAAAATATGTTACTATAATTAAAAACTTTTTGGATTACGAGTGTTCTTTTAATCATTTTGTTTAGTGTATAAACAGGTATTGACTTTAGAAAAAAAACCTTCTAACACTATAAAAAGTTCATAAGTCGTTAAATATCTAACGTATTGACAAAGTACTAAAGTTAATTTATCAAATAGTAAAAAAATATCAATTTAATAAAATATTGAACTTGAACGCCACTTGATACAGTTTCTTGTAAATTAAGACATTTATTTGACTCACAAGCTGCTTTTAGTGCTGCGTTTTTTTTTTGATAAATCTATAAAACATACGAAACGGCCCGAATCCGTTCCGTTACAGGTCGCTAGAACAGATCCGGGTCGCTTAAACAACATGAGTCGCCTTAAACAGTCGTAAACAACTTGGAAATCTTAACAAAGCAAAACAAATATGCTACATTTGTACCTCATGTCGATATCTGCACCATATCGATATCTTGGTCGAAATGTTTTACCGGCTGTTTCAACGTTTCTATCCGTACATTTGCCATCTGGGCCTCTTCTATGCAAAGTACATTACTTTTTTGGTATCGGCGTGGACAGTTATCGCCCTGGCCATCGCTCCAGGAGTTCTGTCTTCCGAGGATCCCGATTGGTGGGAACCTTCGCCGCTGCAAATGAAAGAAGAAATTAGAGAAATGATACAATTAACCCTTTCAATTACAATTACAACAAAAAATCAATTATTAAAATATCTTTTAGAAAGTTCCACTTTGCAATCAAACACATTATCAGATAATAATTTAAAGTTCTGTTTTTTTTCTTTGAGGAAAATTTCTCAGTTGTGTTGGAAATTTTTCTGATGGATGGTAGAAATGTGTAACATTTATAAACGCCACATTTTTGTTATTTTTCTTCAATAATTTTATTTTGTTCTGATTTCTTTTGATTTTATTCTTTTGTTAACCTTGTGTTTTATTTTACTATTTTTATTTCAAAAATAGTTGGCGCGCAACTTTCTTTTTACTAAATATTCTGTACTAATCTTTCATTTTTCAATTTTTAATCTTTCACTTATTATATTCATTTCCCATATTGTAGCAGCAGATAATCCTAATATTCAAATAATAAAATTCTCTAGTACGCTCCTGCGTAGTATAAAATATTACCAAGTCTTTGTCTTCATTTTCTAAATCGCAGTACCGCTGGAAGTTAATCTAAGGTTATTTCACGATTCGAAGGTCTAAAGACTTGTTTACACGAGTAGAGTTGTGGGGAGAGTAGAGTAGCGAGTAGATCTGACTCTACTCGTTACTCTACCAAAAATGGCTTGATACCGTTCACACGAGGAGAGTTACAAGTATAGTACTGATGCTAGTATATTGTGGCATGGGTGTTGGTTTAGTGCAAAATGAATTAAAGAAAAAGAAAATTGATTCGAAATTGTTTAGCTACAGTTGCAAATGCATTTGTAACTGAAGTCGCTGAAGCTATCGATGATGAGGTAAACAAATAAAGAAAGAAGTGGATGAGAGAGTGGCTTAAAAGAAGGAATACACACGGGGCCTCAGCTCTTCTGCTAAGAGAACTAGCCTTAGAGAATGAGTTGGAATATAAGATGTGTCTAAGGATGACCCCAGGGAAATTCGAAGAACTTCTGAATAGGTGCATGACAAAATCGAACGACAAGACACGTTTATGAAGGATGCAATAAAACCAAGAGTGAAGCTTGAGATTATGTTGAATATTCTAACTACAGGGAACAGCTATCGAAGCATTTCTCATTTTTTTTAGGGTTTCAAGACCTGCAATTTCAAAGTTGGTCCCCGAGGTGTGTGATGCCATCTCCGCAGCTTGCCTCATGCTTTTATTTCTGTAGTGTACACTACCTAAATTCCATAAAAACTGGTATTCGCCATACATCTCTACAAGTTTTAAAGTTTCATCTTCAGTGAACTTAATTTTCACTATTTACACAAAACACAACTCCAGCCGGAATGACAGCATCCCTATGTACTCTCCTACCTACTCTACTCTATCAGAATTGACCGCGTTCCATGGGTAGAGTGCGCAGGCGAGTGGACATATTGGCGGTGGTGGTGGTAGTAGAGTAGAGTTATTTTGCCACATGTTGCTAGTCACTCTTCTCTACCAACTACTATGTACTCTACTTGCTACTCTACAGCGCTGAGCGTTTTTGCGGGTAGAGTTCTTCTTCTTCTTAAGGTTCCATTCTTCTAACGAAGGTTGGATATCAACATGGCAATTCTTATTTTACTTACAGCAGCTCTAAATAGTTGGCTAGAGCTCAGACTAAACCATTCCCTTAGATTTCGTAGCCAGGAGGTTCGTCTTCTTCCTACATCTCTTTTACCTTTTATTTTGCCCTCTATAATCAAACGTAGTAGCCCATAACGAGGACCTTCTTAATATATGACCGAAATATTCAAGTTTTCCGCCTCTTAATTGTCTGTACAATTTCTTCCCTCTTATTAACCCTATCAAGGACTTCAATATTGGTAATTTTGTCTACCCATGCTATTCGTAGCATCATTCGATAACACCAACGCTCAAAAGCTTCCAATTTCTTAATCTCCAGTTGTTTCAATGTCCATGCCTCAGATCCGTAGAGCAAAGTTGTAAAAATGTAGCAGCGCAATAACCTTATCCTTAGATCCATTCTTAGGTCTCTACTACACAATAGATGTTTCATTTTTACAAATTTTGCCCTTGCTATTTCTATACGGCTTTTAATCTCTTGTGTTTTGTTCTGCGTTTTGACTAACCAATGTTCCTAGATATTTGTATTTATCTACCCTTTCTATCTGGATATTATTAATATGGAGTGTCTCGTTTTCTTTTGGATGATTTGTAATGACCATGAATTTTGTTTTCTTTAAGTTCATTTTAATACCATATATGGTACACTTTTCATTCAGCCGTTCCAGTATGTTTGTTTGAGACTTTGCAGAGTTGAAGTGAATATGACAGTATCATCGGCATATCTTATATTATTAATAATTTCACCATTTATTATCATTCCATCGTTACACTCTCCCAAAGCTTCTTGGAAAATGGCTTCGCTATATATATTAAACAGCAGTGGTGACAATACACAGCCCTGCTCACACCCCGAAGAATTTTCTATTTCTTCCGACATTTGATTTTCAAATGTATATTTTTGATTATAGAGGGTCCCCTGTAGAGGCCCTCTATTTTTGATTATAGAGGGCAAAATAAATGTTACTGTGCTCTACCAAGTACTTGCATCATTACTCTACTAGTGTAAACGGGTCTAAACGAATTTTAGCTGATTCCGGTGGTATGTAGCGGGACGCGCGGGAAGAAAGTGCGATCTAACTTTTGAGTAGATCGAGGCAAGGTCAAGTTATAGGTTTGAGAGGTAGGCGATCGTAAGCGGAAGTTTTAGTGTGTCGGTCAAGAAAAACCATCAAATATGTTAGAGAAGTGATATTTTACTCAAGTAATGTGTCTAAATAAGAGTAATCACTAGCTTTTGTTGTATACCGTCCCTTATGAGATATTTGTAACAAGGCGATTACAACAATTTTGAAAGACACCAACATTTCCATTGTCCAGTTTTTAAGAAGCGTTTACAGGGTGTGTCCAATGTGCCAGTTTCAACCTCAAACCTCAATGTCCTAAGCAGCCGTTTCGGGATATTTTTTTACAGTTTAGAGATGTAATTTTTTGTTCCACTTATAATTTCAGTTATTTAAAGTTATACAGTGAAATCCAGGTAACTTTTTTGTGATCAAATTTCAAAGTAAAGATAGACATTTTTTTCTAAAGTGATAATTGCTTTCAAAATTACATAATTTAAAGGAATTGTAATAATTAAAATATTGTAAACTTACGAGTCTGGCTATGCTGTCATTTTAATTGTTCTCTGTGGTCAAATTAAATGTTGACATATGACAGCTAGCCTTATTATTTTTGTGACATTGTTTATTTTATTTTTAGAAAAGGTTAATCTTTATGATATTTTCTTTTAAAAAGGTAATTCTTCAATTATAAGAATTTATTTCTGTCACAGTTATAGTCCAATAATATTTGTAAGTTTTGTAGAAACGGATCTTATAAAACAAATAGGACATATGTAAGTTTTTTTCTTTCATTGTTTTGGTATAAACCCTTGTAATTATATATATTGTAATTACTTTTGTATTATCTGTATGTGTAACTGTTTGTGTTGAGGCAACAATAAATGCTTACTTTATTTCTCTAATCATTTTGTCTATTTATTTTAAAAGTCTCCTAACCCTTTTTCGTGTTCTTTATTTTAGGAAAGAATAGCCATTTTTTCCTTTATCCAGCAAGATTAGAATTCTTCGAAGCGGCGTCATTTTTTTTTTTTTTCAAATAGCTATAGGTCTTTCTTGTTGTTTTTGTTTATCCCATTTGTCCAGGAGATTTATGTAAGTACCCTCTTTTATTTGTTTTTCTCATTTAAATCCTGCCAAATTTTTGTCACAGTATCTCCTTCATTTAACCATGTTTCATCTGTATATTTTTTTCCTCTCTTCGAAATTCTGCTATTTCTTTCAGATACTTTCTGGGCCATAAAATGATTTCTTCTTTTCCAATAAGGGTATTAATAAAATTCATGTACGGTACGACGAGTGGCCTGTTTGGTTGTACATATCATCCAATTTCATTTGTTTCCTTCCTCTTGTCTCAGCTTTTAAAGTATTATTATCGTTTGTTTTGTTTTAATTACTCTGCGTAAATGTAACTACATCTCTTACATTCATATTTTGTTCTCTGGATCGAAGTCCTTTAAAAACATTTTCGATCATAGTTTTTTCTTCGCATGTTAAATTGTGACTTTTCTTCTTAATACACGGTTCACTATTACTACTGTCAGTCATATTATTTGTCACCAAATTGAATTAAACCAAATTACTGCCAATTCGCAAAAAGTAAACATAAAAGTTTACTTATTATCTTCCACTAACAAAACTACAAACAATTATGTTCTCTACTTTATGAAACCCCTGTCAGTGTGCTTATGAAACTGATTTACATATATAATAAAAGAACTACCTGAACAACGGCGTTGTTGCCAGTTATATCGCCGACGAAATAGTTGATCTCAAACATTATCTACCGATAGAAAAATATATAATCTCCAACATTGCAGAAATCTAAATCGAATCATTCACGTTTACAACGTGTTTTGGTAATATTTTCCCTAGAACCCCAAAAATGTTACCAAAACATTTGAACAGATTAAAAATAGACCAGTCAAATTATTGAAATGTACTTAATATAAAATGAGGTCTCTTCTATCTAAACTCATATTCTTTGAACAGAAACTTCTTCTGAAAGAAGAAGGTTTTTGTCAAGTTTTAAGAGATTAAACAGATTCTGCAGTAATCCACTAACTTATTTATTAAATAATAAGTAAATGTTTTCCTTTTGTCGGTACTCCAACAAATTTTTTTTTCTAAAACGTCAAATTTTACTGGCCTATAAAAAACCATTAAAACATAAGTCCCTCGCTACAATTGTGGTTCTTTATATAAGCTTAGTATATCTACATTATTCTGTCACAATTCGATATTTTGGATTGGAATTAATTAAACGCTCCCCTTATTCACCAGATCTGGCTCCATCTGACTAGTATGTCTTTCCTCGACTGAGAAAAGGTCTAAATAATCATAAATTTTCATCCGATAAAAGCTGTGTAGACCTGATTTGCAGAGCAGGATCAATTTTTTTTAAGTTGTAGGCGTGTTGCCGGTTTGTTGTAATAAATGTATCTAAATAAGAGAAATGTCCAAAATTCATTCAATTTATTGTTCATAAAATTAGTCAAATCTGATCCTGTGCACGCAAGAGTCAAAATTATGATCCGTTGTTATATCAGTGCAAGATTACAAGTGCACCAGATCATACAACGCAAGTTGCCTTCAAATAATTTATAATCAAAGCACAGTTCAGTCATACAATACACCAGAATCTTCCATTCTCACATATTATACTTCTTCTTCTTGTAGTTCCTTCTCCTATTGGAGGTTGGTTATCATCACAGCATCCGTACCATATTGGAGGCTGCTCTGGAAAGATCTACTGAGCTGCAACTATACCATTCTCTTATTTTTCTTAGTCAGGAAATTCTTCGTCTTCCTATGGATCTTTTACCATTGATTTTACCTTGCATTATGAGCCTTAATATCTCATATTTCGCACCTCTACTAATGTGGCCTAAATATTCCAGCTTTCTTGTTTTGATCTGCTTTATGACCTCGCCATCCTTTTGTAGCCTTATTAGCACTTCTGCATTTGTAACTCGTTGGGTCCATGGTATTTTCAAAATTCTTCTATAGCACCACATCTCAAATGATTCCAACTTCTTTACATTAACCACTTTTAGTGTCCAGCTTTCCATTCCATACAACAAAATTGAGAACACGTAGCATCTTAAGGCTTTCAGCTCTAGAGGGAGGTCTCGATTAACAAACATTGTTTTTATTTTTATAAATGCTTGTCTACAATTTCAATGCGTGTTCTCATTTCTCTGTCTTGGTCATTGCTTTCATTTACCCAGGTTGCCAGATATTTGTAGTTATTCACTCTTTCTACTTGTTTTCCCTCGATATCTAGCCTTCCTACTGTATGTTGCTTAGAAATAATCATGCACTTGGTATTCTTAACGTTCATTTGTACTGAATTGATATAATCTATTTCCTGTAACTTTCTGTAGTTCCCTATAAAAAAACAGCGGTGTTGTTTGCGAATCTTATGTTGTTCACGATTTTTCCGTTTATTGATATACCTGTTGTTCCTCTAATATTGCTTCATTAAAAATAGCTTCGCTATACAGAATGAATAACAATGGGGATAGCACGCAACCCTGTCTAACACCTCTTTTGTTTACTATATCATACTATAATACAGTAAACTACTTTATTATACTCCACTTGAACGAGGATATATGTGTTACAAGTACCTAATCTAGTGTCAGATTTAAAAAACTAACGAAGTAAACGATAAATATACTAACTTACCTGTCATGCTCTTTTTCTACCAAGTGATAACGAGCCCTAAAGGCCACCAAATGAGCATAATAGGCTGGCGCAGGTATCGAAACGGATCTGGTACACCTAACATAAGTATGACATAACTGATATGTCAAACACTGCAGTTCGTCCGAGTCTAAATGTGAATCGTCCCACAAAACGTGGTAATGTGATGGTCTTGAAGTACCCTAGAAAAAAGAAAAATTAGTATCCTCTTTTGTGACGTGTCAACATGTTACATGTTTGTCTAAATTTCTTATATGGTACTAAATTATTTATAACACTCTGTATATTAAATTGTTTTTTTAAGTATTTCTTAAGAAAGCACTTTAACCACCCAGGGACAATAATCATCTTAAAAGTTACCGACTTCATACTACTCGTATTGTAGCGTTTTAAATTTATTTTAACTATGAAATATTTATGTATAAAATTTTGTAGTACGCCCCTGTCTTTAGATGGAATGTATAGTTTATCTGTTTGCGAAGGAATTTTAAAATAATCAATATATTGCGTTTAATTTTTGTTGTCAATTTTCTAAAACGCTCTAACGCTGGAAGTAGATCCAAGGTTAATTTTCAGGATTCGTAGGTCTAACGAATTTTTTTTAGTTCGGTGGCACGAACGGGCATCGGAAGAGAGTAAGAGGAAGGATTTGCGTTTTGTTTTGAGATCGAACGAGGTCAACTTCAGGTTTGAGAACATATTCAAGTTGGATGGACGTGTGGGTAGTTTAAGTCATAGATAAATAATATAATGGTTTAAGTGGTCACTAAGTGGAAATCTACTCTCTGTAATATGACAGATTAACAAAGAGTAACCACTAAATATTTAAGGGATTTTTGCAGTGTACCAGAATATGAAGGGTATTTAAATTACAGCAGTATATAGGGTGTGCCCACTATGTGCAGTTGATTTGGTTCCAACCTCAATTTTTATTTGTTTCTGGTCATTTTTCCAGTCCAGTTTGAAGCAGTCCTTCTGTATAGCAGAGGTTCTAGTAAATTCCCGTTTAAATTTCATAGTAAAATAGACATTTTTTATAACAATAATTACTTTCATAACAATTTAAATAATGTAATATGTTAAAAGTGAAACTGGAACAAACCATGAAGTGGAGATATCCAGGAGTGGCTAGTATACCTGTTGAATACAAAGCATGTGGTGGTCGTGTGTATTAAGGTATAAAAAAATGCTTATTAAAAGCTTAAAACTTTTATTTTAAAGAAGATCTTTTCGGAATAAACTCATTCCATCATCAGTTTAATAAAAAGTTGTCAAAAAAACATTGTATGGCCACGTGAAAACATAGTAGAGAACTCCGTATTAAAAAACTATCCTCAAGATGTTTATGAAGGTAAATGCAATAGACTGTTGATTTGTAGATTACTAAAAACTGAAAATGGGGGCATCTTACATGACACAACTACAGGGGGTAGTTGTATTTCAACACACAGTTACTTAATCCGTTGCAGACCGAACTTAGGTTAGTTAAGACCTTTTTATACTTTATAATATCAGCAGTATACCTTTGTAAAGACAATGACGTTGACTTACATAGTAACAAGGTATTTATTTGCTCAGCTCACACACTACAACATAAACACAAAATTCGAAACTTGAAAAAGGCACATGGTATTAAGAAAGAAAGAAAAAAATATATTTAAATGTCATTTTGGTATAATATATCGTGAAATTATTTAGAATGTGGCAAATGTTAAATGACTGGGTGTTATGAAATCTTTCTTTTCAGTTTTTCTAAGAAAATGTGGATGTATAAAGGTTTAAGGAGAAACAAAATATATTTAAATGCCATTTTCATACAATATATCGTGAAATTATTTAGAATGTGGCAAATTTCGAGTGACTACGTGTTTCGAATCCGTTCTTTTCAGTTTGTCCAAGAAAATGTACCAATGTGACAATATACCAAAAGTAATTATAATAAACATTTAGGGTCATAGAAAATATTTAACAAGTATCTTCAATATGATTCAATAACAATTCAATTCTTGAATGCTTAGGCCACCTGATGAGAGGACAAAAGTACACATTCCTACAAAATATAATGCAAGGAAAAATGCAAGGATGCAGAAATTCAGGCCGTAGAAGAATGTCCTGGATGAGAAATTGAAGTGGTTTGGCTGTACCACTAACGAATTATTCAAAACAGCAGTAAATAAAATTAGAGTCACCATAATGATATCCAATCTCCGATAGGAGAGGCACTCAAAGAAGAAGAATCTTCGATATTTAATATATTGGAAGAAATAAATAATCAGCAGAAATGGACAAACTTATGGAGATAATATCTCTAGAATGAATGCTGGCCCAACAATATAAAAAATCAGACCTGGACGTTTAATACACATTCCAGTCGCTAAAGAACACATGAACAACCCACCTGGATTCCTTGATGGCTACAGAGATAGAAATCAAACTCTGTCGGATGAGTGATGCCAACATCAACAGTAGTTCCGGCTGGAATGTTTCCACTTTTGCCACTTTGTTCCTTCTTATCCGAACAGAAGAGTCTTGTGTGATGCCTCTTCTGGACCACGATAAACGTGATGCCTGGTTTGTAGTCCGCTTCCAATTTAATACAAGCCTAGAATTAAAAAATAATTTAAAAAAAAGTAATTTCTTGTGTATATTTAGATTAGATTTGTTGAGGTGTACAGTTTGTCAAATATAGTGAAACATTGAAACTAATATTTGGGATCACCTCTACAATGCGCAATAGGGTCAGCCTTTAGTATTTTCAGGCAAATTTAATTTTTACAAAGCGCCAAAAGTAACTAAATTTACTTGAAAGAATTGAGTTTAAATCAAAACTGGAGATTAACTCGATGTAATAGTTCAATTGTACAGGGTTTCTCATTATATTTTGACCCCCACTTATTTTCGTTAATTTCGGGAATACAAAAAAAAGTTTCAAATAAAAGTTGTATTATATTATCTGTACCGACCAACAGTGTAGCAACAGACCAAATTTTGTATACAGGGAGTGCCCAATAAAATGCATCTTCAATGGGACACCCTGTATTTTTTTATAGTTTTGAGTAGCCCTGCATTTCCTGATTACAAATATATAACATAGTGTAGGATTAGTTTTGTTCTATAATAGCGTATGGTACTACTATACTATACTAAGATAAGAAAAAAATACAGAGTTATTGCAAAGTTAACGGTGCCTGCGTTGCACTATTTACACCGCGCTATTTCGACAGTTTTGAAATATGGCTGACACATCACAAATGGAGATATTGCTTGAAATTATGCATACTTTGTTGCGTTATTTACGTCGTTTTGTTTTCTTTTCATTTGTTCGCAAATTATTGAAAATTGATCATGATTTAGAAGAACTTATTTTAGCAAATGCTTATGACGATGGTGTAGGGTTCATCATTTTAAATAACATTGTGGGGGAACATGTATTACATCCACAAAATTAAGAATTTAATTTAGAAAACATGTTGGAATCAGATGTAAAAATAAATTTTAGGTTTAGCAAACAAGATATTCCTACACTTGCACGGGCTTTACGCCTACCAGATTTTATTTATACCAATACTACAAAACTCTGTTAGTATTAAATGCATTTGCATTCTACATTAGTTTTGAAATTAAGCCCCTATATTTTTGTTTTTAGGAGTGATGAGAACGCTCGCATATCCCAGCAGGCTTAAAGATCTTCAGCTTTTATTCAATTTGTCACCTCAATCATTATCTCAAATTATTAATTATATTTTTGCATTATGCTACTCTCTGATGTACTCATTTTAGAAAATTATTACAAATAAACTTGGTTTAAATGAAAGACAAACAACATACATAACCTGAAAAAGAAAATAGCGCAACGAATTCCGCACAGCGTAACGGCTTCCCTAATAACGGCAGGCCGTATTTTCAATAACGCAGCGTAAGCCAAATATCACATCTGCGCATGCTCTACTGTCAAAATAACGCGTGCTGTAATACAGCAAGTGCAAAATTGACTCTGCAATATCTCTCTAATATATTTAGAAAAAATATATTTAGAAAGTCAACAAAATTAATGACTTACGATACTACATTTAAGAATACTACATTTAAGATACAATACTACATTTAAGATTACAATAGATGCTCAAAGTATCCCCCATTTTTATCAATGCACAAGTAATATCTTCGTCTCAAATTTTCTAATGTGTCAGATATTGTGTTATTATGATCATTTAAATTTTCAATTTCCGCTCGAACTTTTGCTGTGATAGTGTTAATATTTGTATTTGAATCAAAATACACTTTTTCTTTTAAAAACCCTCATAAAAATCTATCACATGGTATTAAGTCGGGACTATTTGGTGGCCATGTAATGGTACCCTTACGTACGACAGTTACGTTTCTTCCGTTTAAACATTTGTTCATTTATGACATGACGATAATTATATAAAAATGTATTTGCAGAAGGAGTCTGTCGATCTGGATAAATCAGCTTATATTCTCTTCTTACCGCTTGCTTGTTTTTATTATTTTTTGCATAAATTGAGAATATATTTACTTTTTCATCTGCAGTATAACCCATTTCGGTATGAGGACTGACAGGTTATAATAAATTATAATGGTTTCATTTTGAAATGTCACTTGCATAACCACCTATGGTTACCCTTTTGTAGTACCATATGCCATTATAGAACAAAACTAGTTATAAAACTATGTTACACAATGTTATATATTGGTAATCAGGAAATGCAGGGCTACTCAAAAACTATAAAAAAATACAGGTTGTCCCATTTGAAATATCGAAGATGCATTTTATTGGGCACTCCCTGTATACAAAATTTGATCTGTTGCTACATTGTTGGTCGGTACAGATAAAATAATACTGTTTTTATTTAAAACTTTTTTTTATATTCCCGAAATTAAGGAAAATAGGTTGGGGTCAAAATATAATATAATACTTACATATAGTGGAACTTTGACTTTTGACAGCTGGTAAAATGTCAAACTCATTCCTAATTTGACAACCTGTAAGAAAATTAGGCGCAGAGCAAATAGCTCAAAACTATAATCAAATAATGTAGTTTATAGTCATAGAGTAGTCTAAAACTGATTCTATAGATAAACTTTTAGTAAGAAATCTGTGTTTTAAATACTAATATGTAATAATAACTCACCTCTCTAATAGCAGTAAGTTCATGTTGCAGCAACTGTAAAAATTGTCCTTCGGAAACTCCATCCCTATATAAGATAATTCGATGAGGTTTGTAACCACCTAGAATAAAAAAACACACGTTACATTATCATCTATTAATAAACAAAAGAAAAGGAATATAATCCTTAATGCATCTAAATAAAAAACAGAATAAAGACAGAAAAGAAAACTAGATCCATACATCTGTATTTGGTATCTCCGACTTACCTGTGGACTTATAAAACATAATGAGTAATTCTCTAACCATGGAGCTTAATTCTTGTATGATTTCTTGTCGGTGTTGTTGGACACGAACTGTAGCAGCATACCTAGATGGATGGGCGTCCATGGAACCTACCACCGCAGCAATCGACGGTTTCTTGTTGTCGCCGGCAGGCGGATGGGTCACGTCAGCGCCAAGGAAAATTACGGGTTCATTAAATATCTGTGGAAAAAAAATATTTGATATAGTATATAAAATATGAATAAGGTTAAGTTGTTATATCGTTAACTTTTTATTTTCGGAAGAATTGAGAAAAATAAATTACCATAAATAATGCTAATGCATAAATTAGCAGGTTAAGCCCATAATATCATCGTATTGGTTTGAACAATTAATTCTTTCCCTGTAAACTTTTGGACAGCGAATATATCTTAATGCATCTTCAGAAAAATTTGAACTTGATGCATTTTTGTAAACTTCAAAAAAATAAAATTTTAACATTAAACTTGAATTTTGGATTAAAATGAACTCTAAGTGAGTGTTATGAAACTAAAATTTACACTTCAAAGTGAACTTTAATTTATTATTTTATTTCAAACTGACTTTAAAATCGGGAGCAAGAATAATGCATAATTTAGGTTATGTTACTTATGCTTTTTTATGATATAAATCCACTTTTCTCTTTGTAGTAGCTTTGTGCTTCGAAGTTGGAAACGAATAAAACTTAAATTGACAATTTTTTGTTGTATTTTTACAATTTCTAACACAGCATTTCCTAAATCCCATTTTCTTCAGTGACAGAAGGTGTAAATAAACAAACGAATATGAAATATGACAATTGACAATATGAATTTATGAAATCTATGAAATGTGCAGTAAAAAATGCAAGATTTCTCCGCTACTCGCGCACGATCGTTTCTCATATCCCCTCCAAGTACTTGCACGTCGCCAATATATCGAGGGTAATAGACAGAATAGGGCGAATACTTAAAAAAGCCCATGTAAAGACCATTTTCAAGCCAACAAGAAAATCAAGTATTGTTTAAGATCGGTGAAGGACAAACGCAACCGTTAGCAACGGCCGAAGTATACAGAATACCATGCACATGTGGAATGGTATATGTGGGAACCACAAAAAGACACACAAACACAAGGATAAACGAACATAAAAGCCATTGTCGTTTATGACATATCGACAATTCTGCCGTTGCACGCTTTGGGAAACGAAGAACATCAGATATTGTTTGAAGAAACGCAGATGCTGGATAAAACATCACAGTACTACCCACGTTTACAAAGTTAGACCTGTATGATCTCAATATTATTCAATAGGTCTAAAAAGACCGGTTTCCGTTATATATGGGCAGTTTGGTGTGTATTTTAGATTGAAATAAATTCAACTAACAGAAAGAAAACAATTATCTATAATCTTACCTTTGGTCTAATTGATGGCACTAGAATGCTGTTGATTCCTCCCAACTTAACATTAATTTTTAGGCATAAATTGGACAGTGTTTGGGGAGAAGTCTTATTGACATTTTTCGCTTGAACACATTGGGTGGCCATTCCTAACACAGTATCGCCAACTCTTTTTACTTCGGCTAGAAAAAATGAAAAATAGTTTTTACTATTAGCATTAACAAAAAAAAATAAGTTTTTTCTTTTCCCAACCATTCGCTGATGTCATTAATAATATTATTTTGTTGTTCTTCGTGATTTTCTATAAAATAAAGGCATAAGGCTTCAGAATCTCTATAAAGTCGGTTCGCTATATTTACGCGGGTTTCGGATTAAAAATTTTATTGTAAGTACCCAGTTTTAATTACCTGCTCTTTGGGGAAATATCAACTGGTCAAATGAAATGAAAAATAATCCATAACTTTTTTTAATTAAATAATAATGGAAAATCTTTTATATAATTGACAGTATAATAAGGAGAATTACTTCATTAATGGAGTCTAATGTGGCTAATATAAACCTAATAATAATTTTATATTACACTTCACACAGAAAATATGGTCTATGTATATTTGTTCCATGGAGAGAATTTCTAATGAAAAATAAAAAAATTTAACTTGCCAACAAAAATGAAAATCAGTCATTATCATCAAAAATATCATAATCGTCATCATCATCACTGTCATCACCATTAATTGTTATTATGATTGGACTTATTTCGTTTATTTTATTTTCACGAGTCCACCAATCTTCTATTAGTTTCTCGCACTTGAATATACAGTTGCACCAAACTTCTGGAGTTACAATTGAAAGTGCCTTTAGCCAAGTTTCCCGAACTGCGTCGTCGCTATAACCGTTAGGCCCAATATGGTTGTCATAATATTGTTTTGCTATTCCCCATATATATTTGATGGGATTAAACTGGCAATGATACGGTGGCAGACGTAAAACTTGATGACCGTAACTTTCAATAATCTGATCCACAACAAAGGTTTTTGGTTTTGCGTGGATATTTGCCAAGCGTAATAATTCTGATTTTAAAATATTGTTGTGTAAATGGTATATGTTCCTTTGTCAACCATTCTTTAATTTTATTAACAGTCCAAGAAATCGTTGGACTTTTGTTTAATACTTCAGAGTAAGGTGCATTGTCTAAAATAATTACGCTGGGCTCACTTAAACCTGGGAGAAGTTTTTCATGTAACCATTTTACAAACATTTCTGTGTTCATATTATCGTGATAGTCACTTGATTTTGATTTAGATGAAAATATTAAATCAGCACCTACTATAAAACTCGATTTCCCTCCTGCATGTAAAATTATGTGTCGCTTCCCTTCTCCATCAGTATGTTTGATAGACTTTACGTTATCATCTTGCCATATTCTCTTGGTTGCACCCCTAGAAAATATCCATGTTTCGTCTAAATATATAAAATTTGCCCTTTCTTTTCTGTTATCCTCCTTTTGAAATTTGAAACCCAAATTATGTATCACTTGCCATAGACTTGTTCTGTCAATTTCGTCAAATTTTCTATCTTTTAATTCCGAGAGAATTGTATTTAAGGTCACATGTTCCTTGTTGGCTCGCATTCGATAAATGGTATCACGAATTTCAAATTTTTTTCCATCTGGAATATCTTTCGTTTTCAATGATAGGCGAGTTTTTCGGTGATCTTCTTTCGGCCGTTCATTATTGCGATTTTGTAATACTCCTCTTAGTTTGGTTTCACTAATTCCTAGAGCATCACATACGCGTTGTTGAACAGACATTACCGATTTTAAAGGACCGCCATTTTCTTTTTCATCCGTAAAATACTTATGTACACTACAAATTAGACTATCTACATCTAACACACGTCTAGGCATTTTTAAATATTTCCACCAAACATACAATGTCAACACTGGCAAAGAATCAATTCAACTGCAATATTGTAACAAATTTATACCTACCCTAATGTTATTTTAATGTATTTTAAAATATGACCATTAATGCAGTTTTTACCTAATTTTCTGGGAAGTCGTTTACTGCAACTGGGTATCAATGAGTCATTAGCATAATTTTGTTAATCCGAAACCCGCGTAAATATAGCGAACCGACTATACTTATAATCTATATATTTAGTACTTTTTATTGGGCGAATTCGACCGCATGTTTGATGTCTTAATATTTCCTGTTTTTTTTTTTTTTTTCTCATGAACTTTTAATGCATGTATTTCTAAAGCTTTGTTGCCAAACCTAACGGCGTCAAACCCCCCTGCCTCATGTCGTTTACCATAGTAGAGATAGTGCAAACACTCTGACCACGGCGCAGTAGACCAAATTTGGTTTACAATAGAACCTTTGTGCCTTTACGTGAATTTTGACTCCGCCTTCGCGCAGCTCCATGGTCAGGAGTGTTTGCACTATTCTTAATAAGTATAGCCCCACTCCCTCTTCCTTACTACGTAGTTTATGGATATATTATGTGTAAAAGTCAACTACTAGAGCTGCTAAAAGGTAGGCAAAGAGTTAAAGAATTTGACTTACCATATACTGGTGTTTTTCCTGGTAGAACTACGACAACAAGCTGCAAAGACTGGAAGGTGGATTTCAAATATCGGAACATGGGTTCAACTTGATCTGGACCGGTTGCGTATTTGCAAAAGCATGGTTGACCTATAATTGGCATACCGGCATCGTTTGAGATTTTCTGTAGTTGTTGAGTAAAGTTCCTAAACAACAGAGAAAAAATATCAGCTAACCAGTTATGGTATATCTGTTGAATTATAGTATCAAAACTGTTGTATTAATTGAAAATTGGCACTTAAATACAGAATTGTTAACTTTTTAATTTAAATTGTGGTAGTACTTACCTTAGAGCGTCTTCTCTCACGGTACGTTGTGGTGCAAAACAAGCAATGGCCCAAACTCTGATTTCCACACCGGTAAAGAACTGTTTGCCACGCATATCCCATACACCTTGATTTGGCATCGCTTGTTGTTTACTCTGTAACAATTAATCAAAGTAATACAGAATAATAAGCAATCAACTCCTACCCATAATGTACTAATGTCTCGATTTTTAGTCGTTAAAGAGGATTTGAATCTAACGGTCTAAAAATGGAAGAGGATGATATTAATCAATATCCTTTAAACTCTATGAAAACGTTATTTGAAAAGAAATCTAAGAAAATAAGTCAATAACGACTAGTTTTAGAATATAACTAGAAAATTACAGTCTTATTAGGCTTATTAAAGACTCCTGCGAGTTGAGTAAAACAGTACAGAAAATATAATGATATCTAACTAACTACTCACTCTAACCATCAGTGCTAACCATCAAAGGTGTCAGCTGGTGCCGATTAAGCGTCCATACACCCCATATTGAGATTCATTAATTTTTACATGTGGCAACGTTGTATTTGTAAATGTCAAACGTTTTAGAGGTTAAGTGTGATCTAAGTAAAAAGTAGTACATGTGCTTACTAAAACTTTTTTGATAGTGCAATATCTAAGTGTGAATGTGCAGTTTAATGTCACGTCTCCACTTTCAAGGAACATACTCTTAGTATATGAAACAGAGTTTTCATAAAAACTATTTTTAATAATGGAAGCACATATTAGATACATTAATAACACTAACTTGGTGCAAACAAAAATCTACAGAATTTTTCCCTTTTCACTATGTATTAACTTTCTCACTAACCTAACCTAACCTATATTAAGTCTAGATAAAGCCATAAAATAGAGATATGCCTATTATGAAATATGGATATTTCAAATGTGATGCTTGCAATGTTGCTAGATTTACTATTTTTATGATGATATCATTATGTATATTATATTATCATTGGACTCCTCAATACGTTGAGTGAAGTAGCCAATGTCATAGAAACATGATTTGTCCGTCTGTGTTTCAATTGGTAAACAACGCCGCGTTATGACGTAATTTCAACCTCACATGGCCTCGTCCGAAGCGACGACTGAATACAAAATTAATCACAAAGGACCAACAAACGTCTTCCTGACCGTTTCCAACTCAAGTGGTAAGCATACAGAGGTGTCATCTACTTTGGTGGCCATGACGTCATAATATGGTGTTATTTACCGATTCACACACAGACACTGAAAATTCTTAGAGCTCAGAAGCATAAAAAAATTATTTAAAACTTCTGTTTAAGCACAATGAATGAGAATGGAGTGCTATAAACCCAATATCTTCGCTCCAAAGAGAGTAAGGAGCAAAAAATTGGTCTAAAATGTACTAGCTAAGATGCATAAGAAATTTTGCTCGTGTAAAAAATAAACTAACAGAATATAAAAATTCGTGAAGATCTGGTTTATAGAAGAAAAATGATTTTTCATCGAACCAACATTTCTCTCAACAAATCAAAAAACTATAGCTAATTAAAGTAATAATTATTGCAACATTCTTGTTTAACGGTCTTTAACAAGAATATGTCACAAAAACTCCTCTCAACGGAAATGATGTACTGGAGAAGATGTTCCGGGTTAACTTTGTTTGACCACATAGGAAATGAAAACATAAGAGAGAGAATGAAAGTAAAGAACACAATAATGGATACGATAGCCGAAAAACAATTAAAATGGTATGGACACCTGAGACGGATGAACGAAGAAAGGATACCACGAAAGGTTTGGAACTGGAGACCTACACAGAGAAATAAAAGGGGAAGGCCAAGAAAGAAATGGATATCCAATATTCATATAGAAATGGAAAATAGAGGTCTTCAAGAAGGAGACTGGGCCGATAAGAAATTATGGCGATTGGGATGCGAGAAGCGACAAAATTAAAGTTGCAAACACTCGCTATATATATATATATATATATATATATATATATATATATATAATATATATATATATATAATATATATATTATATATATATATATATATTATTGCAACATTTACACTGATTTAGCTCCCCCTGACTTCTATCTATTCTCACATTAGTAAGAAGTTTATTTTGACATTTTTCGTGATTCTAACTTCAGATATATCATCAATACATTAGAATTTACTACAACGTGAGTATTGCAGTTCAGTGAGATTAATACTGAACGATAAAATGTTTTTTAAACTACATAACTTATTGAAAAGCCTACTACTTAGCTATTTGTTGAAGTATTTGGTGATATTTCTAATAATTAACAAACAAACACGTATTAATAACCATGCTATATAACGATAAACTACAAAAATCGCTTAGTAATACAGAAAATTTCAAAATACGTCATAAAATCACTACTGCACAAATTAATATGTATTTTTTAACTGTATTACTAATCGCAACAAAAACTAATTCATTAAAATAAAAATAAAAAACGAAAATCCATCGAGACTGACAAAATAACTATCACAATATTATGAAAACACATCGATCTTACTGTTTTTCAAAGAACGGACAAGTGTGCTACCAACTCTACCAACAGTTCAAGCAAAATGTACGTCAAAAATACACAATCACCACAATTGTGAAACCCATATTAATGTACTACTGTAAAAGGCAAATTAAAGATTTACACTGTGAAGATTGCAGGTTATCATGTGTAATGTAACCCTAAAATGTAACTATGATATATTTAAACTTTTTTTGACGGGGACTTTTAGCAATCGAAAAATATTTTCAGGTTACATCTTTCATTTGTAGACTTTAGATTGCACTGCCGTGTAAAATAACTATGTATGCTTTCAAATTGTATAGGCATAATATATTTTATATCGGCAAAAATGCTAAGTTAGGTCAAGAATCCGCAGATACGCCAGAAAATTGGTATTATCAATCGAGAAAATAGTTTTAGTGTTAAAATAGTGTTTCTGTTTTTGGATCGACATAATACTCGATAATTTTACGTTTTGTTTCGACATACATTTTTTTTATTACAAATTAAATTACAAATAATAAATTCTAAACTACAAATAATATATATATATATATATATATTATATATATATATATATATATATATATATATTTATTACAAATTAAATTACAAATAATAAATTATAAACTACAAAATAATATATATATATAATTATATATATATATATATATATATATATATATAATGATTGTATTTGATACATTATAGTTTAAAATATCTTTATTTGCTTCTTCTGGTATGTTGTTGATGTCTCTTTCGTAAGTATGAAGAGGGCATTCAATCATATGCTGGACAAGTTATTGGACATTCAGATTAAGAACATTCAGGTGGTAGCTCTTTTGTTATGAGATGCTGGTAAGTTAACGCTGTATGTCCAATTCCTAATCGGTTTATAATCACCGATTTATTTTCTGGAAATTGCAGTTTAGTGCCAATCCTAGTTATAACATTTTTAAGTTTAGCTGTAGTAGAATTCCCCATTTGTTGCCAATTTTTTATACAATACTGTTTAATATTGAGCTGGATATCACTGAATGGAATTGTCATTATTTCAGTTTGCTCGTCAGTAACAGCTGCTTTGCCAATTAATCCACTTTTTTATTTCCTGCGATACTTGAATGCGACGGTACCCAAAGATGTTTAACTTTTGCATGTGATGGATGTATTTGCCTTAAGCTCTGAAGAACAGATAAAGAGCCAGTAATAAGAAGAAAGTTTGAGCTTGCATGATTTTTACATACGTCTAATGCCTTTAAAATGGCGATTGCTTCTCCCGTAAAAATGCTGCAGAATTAAGGGATATGAATTGCATATTCAGTATTTCCAGCGAGGATCGTATAACGTCTGAAATGTTAAAAATAGGCGGCAACATCGTTGTAGAAGTTGTGGAAGTCTTACTGAATAAGTAGTGTCTAACAGAAAAAAGAATACCCAGCCTATGGGAAAACGCCGAAATAATACTTTTACACAAGAAAGGAGACACTACTAATATTGAAAACTACAGACCTATAAGTTTGTTGTCACACTTATACAAATTGTTAACAAGAATAATAACCAACCGCATAACACAAAAACTTGATTTATATCAACCGGTTGAACAGGCGGGATTTAGAAAAGGGTTTGGTGCTAATGATCACTTACAAACCATCAGAACCTAGTAGAAAAAACCACAGAATATAATGTACCTTTACATATGGCATTTATCGACTTTCACAAGACTTTCACAAGCTAGCTAAAGTATTAGTATGGGAACGCAAAATCCTGCGAATTATATATGGTCCTTGCAGGGACAGCGTGACAAATGAATGGAGGAGCAGATACAACAATGAAATATCCCTCTCTTCGGGAAAGGAAACATCGTAAGATACATAAAAGCCAATAGATTAAGATGGGCAGGCCACGTGGTACGGAGTGATGACGACAGACTGACTGATTAGCAATGTATTTTGGGAAAGACCAGATGGTAAAAGATCGACAGGAAGGCCTAGAAAAAGGTGGAAAGACGCTGTCAGGGAAGACCTGGAGAAGATGGAAGTAAGGCCATGGGAAATAATAGCACAGGATCGGAATCAATGGAAGGCAATAGTAAACGCGGCAAAAACTCACGAAGAGTTGTAAAAGCCAATGATGATGATGATGACAAGGCTTTCGATAGTATTGAGACTTGGTCCTTTTTGTCAGCCCTGAAGGATGCTCGAATAGACTCACGGTACACTACACTTATTAAAAACATTTATGAACAGGCCACATTCCACATCAAAATCAATGAAGACGAAAAAACTGAAAAAATGCGCCTTGATAAAGGTATTAGACAAGGCGATACTATTTCACCAAAGCTTTTTACCTTAGCATTGGAAAATGTAGAGTTTATGACAAATGTATCTTGCCTGTAACTACATATGGACTGGAGACCATGGCCTTCACAAAGAAAACCTTAGAGCAGCTCAGTACAACCCAAAGAGCAATGGAGAGGGCCATGCTAGGGATTAGTTTGAGAGACAGGATTCGAAATAACGTCATTCGTGAAAGAACAAAAATTACTGATGTCTCAGAACGTATTGCAAGGCTCAAGTGGCAATGGGTCGGACACGTTGCCCGAGATAATCCCGAAAAATGGACACAAAGATTAACAAACTGGAGACCAAGAGAGAACAGGCGAGGAGTAGGCAGACCGCAGAAGAGGTGGACAGACGATATCAAACAAGTCGCGGGCAAGCAGTGGATGAGAATTGCTAAAAGTAGAAATCGATGGAAGCAAATGGAAGAGGCCTATGTCCAGCAGTGGACGAACACAGGCTGAAGAAGAAGAAGAAGTATTTCCTAGTATAAAGGCCGCTGCATGTCCATTTTCAGTTCTTGATGCATCAGTAAAAATCTTGTTATAGCCAGTGTATTCTAATATCCATTCTTCATCTTCCCAAGGAAGCCGAAATTATCAATAAGCCAGATCAAATAGTGGAGAGATTGACGGAGAATTTTGCTGAGAAATTAAATATAGGCAACCAAGAAGTAACTGACATAAATGACCACAGTGGAGACGTAAACGATGAGAGGGAGAAAAATAATATACCAACAGAAAAAGAAGTTGCCAAGGCAATAAAAAGTTTAAAAAACAACAAATCCCCTGGAGAAGACTATATACCCCCTGAGCTGTTATGTATCATCACGAGTCATCCATTTGGAGAGAAGGAAAACTCCCAGACACTTGGAATGTAGGTATTATAATACCTATTCACAAGAAAGGGGATCCACTATGATCGTTTACTAGTATATACTGAAGAAAAAATAGGCAAAAACCAAAGTGGATTCCGAAAAGAAAGGTCAACAATTGATCAGATTTTCCTTTCTCAGACAAACCTTAGAAAAGACATATGAATATGGAATTGATACCTATCACCTCTTCATAGATTTTAAAAGTGCTTATGACAGTGTAGACAGAAGCGCACTTTATAATGCCATGGCAGAACTAGATATTCCGTCGCATTTAATAACATTGGTAAAGCTTTGGCGTCAGCTTTCGAAAGTTGAGTGCAAAGTCAAGGTACAAAACAGAGTGTCAAGGTCTTTTCAAACACATACTGGATTACGCCACGGAGACAGTCTATCGTGTCTATTATTTAACATCGCGCTAGAAAGAGCCATAGAGAAATCGGGCATAGCAACCAGAGGTACGAATATGAAACTCTTATTAAACTTGTCCTGACATACGTGTCAGAGACATGGACTATGATAAAAAGCGACGAAGAACTGTTAGGTCGCTTTGAAAGACGAATACTTAGACACATATACGGAGTAGTACAAGAAAGCGGGATATGGCGCAGGCGCTACAATTTTGAGTTGTATCAATGCCATAAAAAATGCAACATCGTCTGGTCTATTAAAATTAATAGACTAAGGTAGCTAGGACACCTTGACAGAATAGATCCTGGAGATCCCCAAAGACAGATATGATATCAAGAGCCAGTAGGAACCAGGAGGAGAGGCAGGCCAAGATCTAGATTCAAAACTCAAGTTGAAGATGACTTGAGGAATCTAGGGGTCAGAAATTGGAAAGCCAAGGCGAAAGATAGGGGGAATGAAGACTAATTCTTGAACAGGTCAAGACCCACCCAGGGTTGTAGAGCCAAAGATGATGATGATTCTAATATCTTCTTCTTCTTCTTCTTCAGCCTGTGTTCGTCCACTGCTGGACATAGGCCTCTTCCATTTGCTTCCATCGATTTCTACTTTTGGCAATTCTCATCCACTGCTTTTCCCGCGACTTGTTTGATATCGTCTGTCCACCTCTTCTGCGGTCTGCCTACTCCTCGCCTGTTCTCTCTTGGTCTCCAGTTTGTTAATCTTTGTGTCCATTTTTCGGGATTATCTCGGGCAACGTGTCCGACCCATTGCCACTTGAGCCTTGCAATACGTTCTGAGACATCAGTAATTTTTGTTCTTTCACGAATGACGTTATTTCGAATCCTGTCTCTCAAACTAATCCCTAGCATGGCCCTCTCCATTGCTCTTTGGGTTGTACTGAGCTGCTCTAAGGTTTTCTTTGTGAAGGCCATGGTCTCCAGTCCATATGTAGTTATAGGCAAGATACATTTGTCATAAACTCTACGTTTTAGACACATTGGTATATCTTTATTCTTCAAAATAAAGCTTAATTTGCCGAAAGCTCCCCAAGACAGTTGTATGCGTCTTTTTATTTCGGCTATTTGATTTTCTTTGCCGATTTTAATGGTATGTCCAAGATATATATTATAGTGGTCTATATTTTCAAGCCTGACGTTGTCAATAACAAGATTAGTTTGTAAATTACTCATTATTTTTGTTTTCTGAAGGTTCATTTTGAGACCTATTTTATTTGACTGATGGTTTAATTCCTTCAACATTTGCTCCAGTTCCTTGATATCTGTACTAAATAATACTATGTCATCCGCAAACCTCAAATGACTCAAACGTACACCATCAATGTTTAGACCTTTTTCCTCCCAGTCAAGCTGTTTGAATACATTTTCCAATGCTAAGGTAAAAAGCTTTGGTGAAATAGTATCACCTTGTCTAATACCTTTATCAAGGCGCATTTTTTCAGTTTTTTTCGTCTTCATTGATTTTGATGTGGAATGTGGCCTGTTCATAAATGTTTTTAATGAGTGTAGTGTACCGTGAGTCTATTCGAGCATCCTTCAGGGCTGACAAAAAGGACCAAGTCTCAATACTATCGAAAGCCTTGTGAAAGTCGATAAATGCCATATGTAAAGGTACATTATATTCTGTGGTTTTTTCTACTAGTGTTCTGATGGTTTGTAAGTGATCATTAGCGCCAAACCCTTTTCTAAATCCCGCCTGTTCAACCGGTTGATATAAATCAAGTTTTTGTGTTATGATTCTAATATACATTCTTGATATAGCTTGTTAATCATTGTAGGATTTGTGGTACTCTTTAGTTAGGCCGTGAGGGATATGTCAATAGTGGGAGAATTAGTAGTTCAGGGAGATATAGTTCGTTATGTAGGATAAGTATGTGTCAGCAGCTTCAGGTTAAAACCATCTCTCGTTAAACGTTCTTTAAGGGGTGGATATTTTAATTTTTGATAGCAATGTCTAGGTGGATGTGTTTTGTAAAGAAGTGGGTAGTTTATGTTATTAGGGTTGGAAGACAATCTCGCAGCATAATTTAAAGAAATGTGTTGTCTTCGTATTAATAGGGGGGTTCATTAAGGATAACCTGAAAACTTGAAACAGGACGAGTTCGGTAAGCACCCAGAACAAGTCTTAACATGTACTTTGTATCATGTCTAGTTTTTTAAGAATATGATTACTCGCAGTTGATTAGCATATTGCACCATAATCCAGTTTACTTCGGATTAATGATTGGTATATATGCAGCAATTTGATAGTGTCCGCTCCCCAAGATCGGTTTGATAGCATTTTAAGGAGGTTTATGTTAGTTTGACAGGAAACGACTAGCTTTTTAATGTGTTCTGCGCATGTTAACCGACTGTCAAGAAAGTCAAGGATCTCTACTTGTTTTAAGTTGATACCATTTAGAGTAAGTGTTATCATAGAAAAATTGTTTAAAACAATTTGAAAATTTCAAATTAAGTACACTTCCTCAAAATGTTGTTGAACTGCTACGCATGTAAGTACCTGAGGAACGTTTAGAACAGGATATAGCGATTTATATCACTGTTAAAATCACTTAATCATGTTTTAGTAGTCAAATTCGGGAAAAGTGTTGTTCAAATCGTAAATAGTAAATTGTGTAGTAGAAGGGACCTCAGTAAACTCAGGTTCCGAAAGTTCTGATGATATTGAATGCTATACATTCAAACTGTTTACACATACCATATTTTATATCGGCAACAATGCTCAGATAGGTCAAGAAACCGCAAATACGCTAGAAAAGTGTTATTATCTATCGAGAAAAGAGTTTTTATTGTTAAAATGTTATTATTTCGAAATGGTACTCGCTAGTTTTACGTTTTCATTTAAATATCGACACTGATACTGATAGATAGGCATGTAAGGATGTAATCATGTTTTAATAGTCAAGTAGTGAAAAAAGTGAATGGTAAATTGTGTAGTAGAAGTGATCTTAGTGTCATTAGACTCGCCAAGATCCTCATTAGACCCAGGAAGTCCAGATGAAGTCTCCAGAGAGGATGTCGAAAGCCCAACGTAGCAAAATTCGACACGATCCAATCTGGAAACTCAGTAGTTTATAATTAATTTCCTTGGGAGAAGAGGGAGAGAGACACACTCAGACTTAGAGTGTAAGCGAGTGAGAGAGACCAAAAGAGGCAGATTGGGCGCGAGAGATAGAGAGTGAGGGACGGTGGTGGAGACAGAGAGAGAAAAACAAAAGAGACAGAGAGGGAGAATAGTTGCGTAATGCTATATAGGTACGCATCAAAACCGTTCAAATATACCATAGTTACCTTTGAAAACAACATACGCTAATATGTTTAATGTTATTGGTTTATGTGAACTTACTAATTTAGTTTCTAAACTATTCCACTTCGTCACCACCATTTTTTACCTACTTGATAGCATATTCTTTATGTTTTCGACATTTTTACCAGTTACGTGGACTAAAATAAATTGTGCGCATCCTGCAATCTTCCTCTATACAAGCTAAGCTAAAAAGAAAATAAAATACAACTGGAAACTAACGTGCCAGCCCACCTGTCCACTGAGGGAGGCCACCCGACCGCCGTATTGTAATTTTGGCGGGGGCAAAACCCTCCCTCTGACCTCCATCATGTTGTTGCTGATGGTCAGACCGAATTCTTGTACGTATTCGTCGTTGTTGAAGTCGGCTCGACGAACCAAGTTGTTGATTTCACGCTCTCTGTCGGGTGCCGATCTGAAAACACAGGGAAACATTAGTGCCTACGCATAACGGTACGATCAGAATAATAAACGAACTGTCACAATTTACATTAGAATGAAATATCACAAGTAGTAGCTTAAATAGTAGCTATCTATTTTAGATGTACTGAAGCAGCAATCGTTAATAAAAAACAGCAAATTGCTCTGCTTAAAGACATACACAGTGAAAAAGCGTAACGACTCAACACCAATGTTGTACCTTGGACAATTTGTCACTATTTTTTTAAGTGACCTAATTTTTGTAAATACAAATAATGTTATAAACATCTAACAAAAATTATATTGTTGTCATAGTTCAATATTACACTAGAGAAGTGAGGTTGCTTAATTACTTATAACATCCAAAACCCCAATGGAGTAAAAAAGTGTCTGAGATACAACACCTTCCCCTAATCAGTGCAGTGTTAGTGTTTTTTAAAAGGGTATATCCCTTAAAGTATTTTTTTGCAAGTTTTAATAACCACTATTTCATATACAACACTAAATTTGTATAACACAAAAAACGACAAATGCAATGTAAAAGGATTATGAAATTGAAACTTGGAATGTCCAGAGTTGGTACAGACCTGGAACTGCTATAAATGCTGTGGAACAACTGGAAAACATAGGAATGGATATAACAGCCGTCCCAGAAATAATATGGCCAGACGATGGAAATATAAAAATAAGTAAATTCACCATCTTCTTCAGCGGTAACAAAAACGGAAGACATGAATTTGGAACGGGCTTTGTGATTAGAGACAACCTAGTACAGAATATACTAAATTTTAAACCTATAAATGAAAGGATATGCTACATACGAATGAAGGGAGAATGATACAACATTTCGATTATCTCAGCCCATGCACCAACGAAAGAGAAGGATGAAGATATCAAGGATGACTTCTACGATGCCCTAGAAAGGCACAGTAGGTAAAACACAGTCTACACAATATATCCAACGACAATGGCTTAAGACTCACAGAAACTGCAGCAGCTAATAATATGCTAATAAAGTCAACCATGTTTCCGCATAAAGACATCCATAAGCAAACCTGGGTCTTAAACGACCATATTACGTGCAATCAAATTGACCATATCATTATAGATGCCCGTCATGGTAACAATATTATAGACGTAAGAAGCCTGAGAGGAATAGACGGAGACACAGATCATTACTTAGTCAGAGCAAAAGTCAAATCCAGAATATCTAGCCACAAATACAATAAAACAACAATAAACCCACAATGGAACATGGACAAAAATACACAAATACAATGATATAGAACAGCTATGGGAAGCGACTGCCGAAATAATAACCTAGACAGCGGACAAGATCTTTGGAAGGAGTAGGCAGAAGAGGGCAAAAACATGGTATGACGAGAAATGTCGGAAACAGCTGAAAAAAGACAAACAGTAAGGAAGACTTCAATACAACTGCAAACAGACCAAAGTAAAAAGGAATATGACGACTGTCGAAAAGAAACAAGAAAAATAATACGCACAAAGAAAAGAAACTATGAACAACAAAAATATTAAGCTATTGAGAGAGACCGGCCCAAACCAGGCTCCAGAGAATTCTATAAAACAATTTCCTCTGAGAAAAGAGGACATAGAACCAATTCCATCCATACACTGAGAGACAATCAAAGCCGTATGATAATCGACGGTAAAGAAGTAACTGAAGAATGGAAAAAGTATTTTAGAGACCTTCTAAACATCACACAGGAAGAACAGCACGAAGAAGAGATCTATATCACAGAGGACATGCCCGTCAAAAATCCCTCCTTTAAAGAAACCCAAAAGGCCTTAAATAAGCTGAAAAATCACAAAGCGCCGGGTACGGACGAGATACCAGCAGAACTTCTGAAATATGGGGGAGACGCACTACATCGCCAAATCCACCAGCTAATAACGCACATATGGTTAGAAGAAAGAATACCAGCACGATGGAAGGAAAACATAATAGTGCCCATCCACAAAAAGAGGACAAAACAAAATGCGCGAATTATAGAGGAATCTCACTTCTAAACACAGCATATAAAACCCTCTCAAACATCATTCTTAGTAGACTAATCCCTTATGCTGAAAATGTCCTAGGCGAATATCAAGCCGGGTTTAGGGCAAACAGATCAACAATAGATCAACTATTCACGCTGAGACAACTTCTAGAAAAGGGATGGGAGTATAACAGACCCATACACAATCTTTTCATAGACTTTCGAGAGGCATATGATAGCGTAGAAAGAAGCCAAGTATGGAATGCCATGGCGGAGTTCTCAATAACCAAAGAAACTCATTCGGATGACCAAAGTCTGTATGGAGGGTGGAATATCTAAAGTACGTGTAAATAATAAACTGTCTGGCAGCTTTGAAATCAACAGTGGACTTAAACAGGGTGATGCGTTATCTCCACTACTTTTTAACCTTGTATTAGAGAAAGCCATGAGGTCGGCCGAAATAAAAACAAATTGCTATCGGTTCAAGGTCCCAAGCTGTTACTCGCATATGCAGATGACATAGATCTCGTTGGAGACTCCATCCTATCCACGAAAGACATTTTCAACAAGGTAGAAGGAGCAACAAGTGAAGTAGGGCTGAATATTAATGAAGGAAGACGAAATATATGTGTATAAATAGAACGACACGAAGAGACAGAATAGGACAAAATGTCAAGGTCAACAGCTTCAATTTCAAAAGAGTACAACGTTTTAAGTATCTGGGAGCCGTAATCACAGCTGACAACGATGTGACTGAAGAAATAAAAGACAGAATCCAATCTGCAAACCGCTGTCTATTTGCACTGGATAAGCTCATAAAATCAAAAAATCTCACAAGAAGTTCAAAGATCAAAATCTATAAATCCATCGTCAGACCTGTAATAACATACGGATGCGAAACGTGGACCATGACCAAAGCAAACGAAGAAAAGCTCAGACGCTTTGAACGAAAAATACTTAGAAAAATTTTCGGACCTCACCATGACATCACCACAAACCAGTATAAGATCAGAACCAATATCGAATTAAAAGTACTCTACAACGACGCCGATATTGTACAAGTAATTAAATCACAGCGACTAAGATGGGCAGGCCATGTGCACAGACTGCCTAACGAAAGACTTGTAAAACTGGTATGGGAAGAGATTCCCACATGCAAAAGACCACTCGGACGTCCCAGAATGCGATGGAGAGATAACATCCAAGCAGATCTCCGGAAAATGAACATTCCATTTGATCCTAGGTTAATGGAAGACCGAACAAATTGGAAAAAAGTTGTACAGTCAGCCAAGACCCACCCAGGGTTGTAGCGCTATGTGTATGTGTATGTAGATTTCTAGAAAATCTGCATTTCATGATATAATTATGACCCTAGTATTTTTTTAACTGTACATTATGATAGTGTCTACATATTGAATTACTAAAATTTGTAAGTTCTTACCTCGCTGTTGCTTTGATCATTGTCGAAGTCTGCATGTCCGTTAACTTCTTTATACACCTTTGTCCGGCAACAATGTTGCAAACTTCTAATGGTAGGTATGTGTGCTTGTGTTCTTGGCCAACCTGGAGGCATGGCAAGTGGGGGTATCTTAATTTCATTTTGTACTTGTCCAAGAAATATTTCGCCACTGTACATTCGACAGTTTGGCCGTTTTCTAACTGAAGTGGAAATCTATAATCAAAAAAAACGACATAAAAATATGAATTTTAAATATTTTAATACGATGAATTTAAAGTACAACAAAAAGAATGAAAGCAAGAAATAAAAATTTTTGTAAGAACATGTCTGAAATACTAAATTTGAAAACGAAACTGGAATATTGGTGTACGACTTCATTCATCTTTTTTTTTTAGTTTTCTAATACTGTGTGGAGGAAAATTTAAGAAAGCTGCACAGAAAATTGAAAAATTTCAGAAAACTTAACCATAACAATCCAGTTAAAATGAAATACAAAATATGAAATGAAACATTCAGTTAGTTATATACTACTTTGGATATTGACGTCAGTAAAAACGTGGCTATCTTCACGTCTATTTACATTAATACATGACACATTTAATTCTTAAGGCCGTACAAACTCCGCTCAGCTAGTATAAAAATAAATACTCCACATACATATTAGATTCATGTATTTGAAACATGTTGAAAAAGACAAAGGAAAGAATCAACAGACCAAGACAAAAAAGAGTAATATAAAATGTACTTACGATTGCATCTGTGCAGGTCTTCTCGTCACGTTACAGACTCTGTATTTTCTCCTCATCGCTCCACAATGCGTTATTTCTATTTTGAGACCCTTGATTTCCTTTGTAAACTTCACACGTTGGCTGTCTGTTAGAGGTTTCCTCTGTTCGTTTATGTCTCGAATGTCCAGGACTTCGCACATAAACTCTATCACAGGTTGCGCTTTGTAAAATGCCGTTGCAGACACTAGAAAATAACATAAAGTTAGAAGGGCACTTAAACATTTGCATATATGATCAGGTGGGTAATAGGAAATAGTACTTCCGATGGCTAGAAATGAAATATGGCAACAATGTCACATACACAGAATTGCAATGCCACCTTTGCTTATTCTATGAAATGACATTCAGTTATTTACAGGCCAAGTGAATCCCCATTTTGTGCAACTTAAATTTGATTGTTTTTAAACATTAAAGGTCGATTCAGACACATTAGTCCCGTCATAGTCTCGGCGCCGAACCGGTCCTGTTTGGTCACAGAACTATCAACTATCTGACAGCTGGGAAACTGTTCGTCGCCTGATGAATGTGAATGCCGGCGCCATATTTCTATTAAAGAATATTTTGTATGAAGGATTGTTCGGTTCGGCGCCAGGACTGTGACGAGACGTGACTGATGTGTCTGAATCGACCTTAAATCGATTTAGAACAGTGCCGATATTTTACAAATTTCATCTCTCGGTGTAAGGTAAGTATAGAGATTATACAGATTGAACGAAATAAATTCGGAACATACGAAATATGTATTTCGGCTCAATTCTGCTGTAGGTGGTTGACCAACAAAAGGTTGTCAAATAATTATATTATAAAAATCCAATACTTCAGCAGGCTGCTGGATTCTGAAATCATAAAAATTGAAAGCTACACATAAATCTACGATTTTATTATGCTGTCAAACCACTTATAGTCCAGGAAATGAAGCATTTCACCTCGCAATTTTTTCGTCCTGTGTGGATTGACCTGAAATTTTAACAGAAGGTAGGTAATAGCCAAGGATCAAAATCTATATCGAACCAAAGTGCGCCAAAGCCTTAGGGGTGGTTGCCACCCCATCTCGGGGGTGAAATTTTTTTTTACGTTTTAACTACAGGTTTCGATTAAAAAAGTGATTCTAAACAAAAAATGTTCTATACATTTTTTTTGTAAAACTGATATTTTTCAAGTTATTCGCGATTGAAAGTAACAACTTTTAGACGAAAAAATCGACGTTTTTAATCGATTTTTCGCGAATAACTCGAAAATGGTGCATTTTATCAAAAAAATTGTAGAGAACAAATTTGTAGCTTTTAAAAAGACAAATACAATTCATTTTTTTAAAATGTTTTTGCGATATAACAGGAACCGAAATACGGCCTATCAATGTTCAGCGGTTTTCTTCAAATGCCAAATTTGAAAGATTCAAAGTCAAATATCGGGAAAATGATGAATTTTTGGAAGAAAACTCACAGAACCTTTTTTAAAGAGCATAAATAGACCTATCATAAAAAAATACTCCAGCTCAAAAATTGAGTGAGTTATGATAAAAATAAGGTCAATACCTCATTTTTTTAAGAAAAAATCGATGAAAACAACCCCCTAACCACCCCATAATTAAAATCGATCTTCACCCTTCTGCAACTCTCTTTGTACATGTATTGTTAATACGTCCAAGAAGTTTGACCCATTTAAAATGCTTAGTTTTAGAAAAAGTACAGCATAAAGCGAGAAACGATTTACAATTTCATATTTTTTACCCTTCTTTTTTTAAATATCCCCGAAAATACTGAATATATGAAAAAAATAAAAATGTACTAAATTGTAGCTTTTTCAATGACTAAAATTTTCCTTTATTTAGATTTGTTGTACAATGAATATTTGGCGAGATATAGCCGTTTAAAGCATCGTTTTACGATCAAGCACCATCTTTTTCGAGCCCTTTAAACTCACCCCATTTAAAAACCAAAGGTTCCAAAAAAATTTAATTCACAGATCCTTGTAGCTCTTAAAAACCTCTACAAAACCGTTTTTGAAGAAACACTCTATCGTTAAAAATGAAGGAAATACGTTAAAAAAAGCAATTAATTTTTTTTCCGGAAAATTCCATTAGTATAGTACAGTACATTTCGGAGCATAATAATCTACAAAACCCGTATATTAGGTAGTGGGGCGTTATACATTCGAAATTTTAAGCGTTCTTATTTTGAAATCCCATACCACCGAATAAAACATCTGCTCATATGTCTATGGCTTGGCAATGAAAATATCAGAGCAACAGATTGGGGATGGTATTCCAAAGATGGTTTGTTATTACCCGTACGCATGAACAAACAACCTGCACCCGATGAACTTTTGTTGTTGTTGTTATAAATGTAAATATTTTCAACTATTTATGTAAATGTATAAGAATATATGGTGCCTTTTTATGTTGATAATTTTTTTTGTATTTAATTCTACTTTTTTTCAATTTATATCTATTAAATTAGTTTATAAAAACTGCAATGTTATAAAGGGTGATATTCAAAAGTTGAAAAGTTGCAAAATTTTGGCAAAAAATTGTTTTCACCTATAGCACTCATAACAATTGATTTTTAAGGGTTGAAAATGTATGAAATTGTATTTTAAAGTATAAAAAAATGACTATTTTATAACTAATCCAAACCAAATTTCACTCATCTTAAGATTTGTAATGTTATTTTACAATTTTTGAAAATTAGGGGTAGTTTTCACCCCCAAAAACAATCAGGGTTCATCGGCATGACATAGACTATAAAGCAGAGGGTGAGTTGAGCTTAATACCAAATTTTTATCCAAATCGTTCTAAGGCGAAATCATTTTCTTTGCATTACTACTTTTTTTACATTAATCTCTAACAAGGGTTGCTTTTTAAGGGTTGAAATATGATGGAACTTTATTCAAAAGCACGAAACTATCATTATTTAATTAATTCAAACCAAATTTTACCCATATTCAGGTTTAATATGTTATTTTATAATGTTTTGACAACTAGGGGTAGTTTTCACCCCTAAGAACAATCAGGGTTCGTCGACATGACATAAACTATAAAGCAGTGGTGAATTAAATCCGAATTTTTATCCAAATCGATCCAAAGCGAAATCATTTTTTAGAATTAATAATTTTTTTACATTAATCTCTAACAAGGGTTGCTTTTTAAGGATTGAAATATGATGGAACTCTATTCAAAAGTATAAAATAATCATTATTTAACTAATTCAAACCAAATCTTAGCCATATTCAGGTTTAATATGTTATTTTATAATTTTTGACAATTAGGGGTAGTTTTCACCCCTAAAACCCTTCAGCGCACTTCGGTTCGATATAGATTTTGATCCTTGGGCTATCACCTACCTTCTGTTAAAATTTCAACTCAATGCATGCAGGACGAAAAAATTGCGAAGTTTTAACTTTTTTCGAGCTTCATTTCCTGAACTATTATCGCTTCCTTTACGCAAACAACATTGTAACATTGTTGCGAGACAGATAGTTGAACGATATTTTATACAATGTCTATACCCAGGTATGGATTTATTTTTGTCCAAGTTTTATATTGGTCCACTATTTCAAATGCAGTTCAAACAGACATATATTAAATTGTATGATCCGTTTTAAATTCGTTCAATCTGTATAATTTAAAGCTATCATGAGAATCCTTATATTGCCTAAAATGTTAATTTGAAGGTTATTTACTACAAGAAGTAAGTACATTAAGTGTTTACAATTACCGCCTTAAATATTGAGCATGGGATAAATGAAAACACCCGTTGGGGGTAAATGGAAACAACGTGGGGTAAATGGAAATCAATTTTTTCTGTTAAGGGAGTTATTTTGTTACAGGTATTGCCATTTTCAAACTGCCGAGGAAGTACATAAGAAAGAGGCTGCTGCTTACTACGGTATTCCACATTGCGTTATTTACAATCGCATAAAGGGTAGAAACATACCAATTGATAATATGGGAGCTGGTGTGACTACTGCATTGTCAGACAAAATTGAAAACCATATTGTGACATGTTTAAAAATGTACTTGGTGAATACGTTAAAGACAAAGATTGGTATTTTGTATTTAGGAAAAGCCATCCTTCACTTTCGCTAAAGAAACCTGAGCATATTCAAAAACTTAAAAAATATGCTCGAAAGCCAGAAATCATCTATGATTTCTATTATAAATTAAAAGAAGTTGTTCAAAATAATGGCCTTAATGACATCAGTAAATCCATGTTTGTGTTTAATGCTGACGAGAGTGGATTTAATAGTGATCTCTCCAGAATTAGAGCTATAGGATCAAAGGGTAAAGCTCTATGCAGAGTTTCTAGTGGTTCTGGACGGGAGTCCACGACAGTGCTCGCATGTGTTTCAGCAGATGGAAAATATTTACCACTGCTCATTGTTTTTAAGGATGCTGCTGTCCAAGCAATATGGGTATCACCAGAGGCCATGCCAAGAATTCTTTACGCTTCTAGCAAGAATGGTTGGATTGAGGAACCTCAATTTACCATTGGTTTCTTAATGGATTTGTACCACATGTGCAAATAATTCGAGAGATACAGAATTTACCAAATGAAAAAGCTGTACTCTTATATGATGGCCACAGAAGTCATAAAGTATTCCAATAATTGAACATGCTTTAAAACATAACATTGACCTCATTAAGTTTCCCAGTCATTCAACAGACAAATTTCAACCACTTGCTAAGTGTGTTTTCAAATCAGTTAAATATACATGGGATCGAAAGTTAGTAGCATATGGAAAGAAGAGAATGGGGGAACATACTGGGCGTTTATCTAAGGACAAATTCATAGAACTTCTAAGTGAAATTTGGCAGGAGGCTATGCTCTCACAAAATATTATATCTGGTTTTGAGACTACTGGTGTGTATCCTGTAAATAGTCAAAAAATTCCTGAATCCGAATTTAATTCAGAGCGGCTTCAGTTTTATAAAGAAAAAATACTCTACTCCCATAGTTCTGGTGAAAATACTTTAGATGGGAATAAGTGAAATACTAGTGGATTTATTAACAAAACATTAATAAATGAAGCTGAACCATCATCATCCAAACACCAAACATCTGTAGCTAAATTCGCAACAGCAATTGCAGAATTAGATATGTCTAGTTTTATTTCTCCAACCAAAGACAAACTGGACCGTATATTTCATGTGGAGTCAATAAGAACAACAAGAAAACTTGACTCTCACAATTAAAGAAATTGCTCCACAGGGAAAAAGATAATCCCTCGGCTAAAACAGTTGACCTATAGAGAAGTATTAACTGCTAGTGACGTTTTGAACAGAATGAAGGAACATTAGGATTTAGAAGCAGAAAGAATGGAAAAAGAAATGAAGTTCAAAAAATTGCTGATTCGCTTGAAACTCCAGTACCAAGTAAAAATACAAATACAAAGAAACGTAAAGAGTCATTGTCATCATCTGATGCAAGTGAAACAGAAGTATCTTATGCTGAGAGTGATGACAGTCCATGGGATGACCAGGTAGAAGAAGAGCTACAAGAACTAGAGGCTGTAGAATACCACAAACTCCTGCTGGGAAAATTTGTATTATTAGAATTCAAGGGCGGTAAAAGGTTGCACATCTTATAGGTATCTTTGTATGATCGAAGATATTGATTGGGGTGATGAAATCAAGATTATAGCTCTAAAATGTATAAATGCACTTTGGAAAATGCATTTTCCTTGTTCAATAATGCAATTTTCATTTCCACTTTATCATTTTTGTTCACAAAATTTCCTGACACTCATACGAATCGAATGCAACAAGCTTTTAAATGTTCCTTTATATTTCTAGTATAAGCTTTATCTCTGAATGTTCTTGATGTCGCCGCCACACGACAAGATGCTACTGGATTTGGATTTATAGCAGATTTTGTTGTTGGAAGAGTTTTCCATCTCCAAGTTTTCTTATTAGACACCATGCTAGTATAAGATTCACCATTTTGGTATCAATCAGGGATATCATTTTTTCTACAGATAAACCACAATTTAAAAATTTCTTGAAATTAAAAATTTCAACCAGAAATCGGCCAATTCTTCCTCCTTGTAAGGTTCACATTATGTGAAAACGATCTAACAAAAGCCTGGTACTTCCAAAAGAAAAACAAACTTATTTCCACAAGCAGCTTGGGCAGGTACAAGTGATACTGGGCTCATTTGCTGAAGAGAATTTTTGAATAAGTGAACTTTCAGGATAAAATTCGTTCTACTCATTTCCGATCTCATCGTTAGCATCTCAATTTGTCAACATTCTAGCGCCCTTTTTTGAGTACTTTAAGGGATACCTGTCTGCTAAACAGATAAAGATAGCACTTCTATCCAGGTAAACAAGACAATTAAATAACCAAACAGGTCTGATAAATTACCATTTTGAAGTATGTATTGTAGATACATACTTCAAATTTTAGAATATAGAAAGAATTCCCAGTGAACATCATGTCGCAGTCATTAGAATTTTGAAATCAATCAATAACAAAATAACAATTACACTATAAAACAATGAAAAATTACTTACCATCAATATTGAGCATCATTTTCCATTGACTAGGTCTTACAGATTGATGAAATCCAAACCAGACTTCTCTACCACCGCCTAATTAAAAAAAAAAAACGTTAAAATGGTAAATATAATTTTTTTAGATACCAAACTTACCTAACGGATGATAATATCCCTCAGGACTACTGAAAAAACTTCTTCCTACGGGCGTGTAGCTCATAGAGGGCAAATGCCTCATGACGACGTCCAAAGCCAAAATAGCTTCGAACGGAATTTGCCTAGTTCTGCCTTCTAGAGCTTCTTCGAGACCGTACAAGGAGACTTGAGCTACCCATTTGATGCTAACTCGGAATAGTCTATCCTTGCCTTCGCCCGGTAGAGTAACTTCAAGTTCTTCGCGGGAATTACCGATGGGAAGGGGATCTCTGGTGTAGAGGTTGTTTCTGCCATCGAATACTGGTTTCAGGTTGCCGAATATTTTGCCATATGCCTTCACCATTGTCTCGATGATTTCTCTGTTAACCTAAAATTATATAATTTGATTTAGTACTTTTTATGAATTGGTATTATATAAAGAAAAGAAAACGGCGTATCAGGGCTACAGAATAAAAAAAATCTAGGTTTATTTCAAGGTCAAATCGTAATTATATTCTGTAAGTTTCAGCATGGCCAGTTCAAAATTCAAACCGATAACATTCTTATCAAAGTGTTGTACAAAGTAATTGATATGGCAACCCTGTTAGTATGTCGTTTCGTTTGAAGCGTTTCGAAGCCGAAATTAATGTTATCTATCGATGATAAATATTACCTATATTTCAGATGGAGCCACCTCTCTACAATACAATTTGATGACGGCAGTTCAAGATATATATCTTGTTTAACGGGATTTAAATCTAACTAGAAGAATTTCTTACAGTGCTTCCCACGGTCGGCGATTCTACAGATCTTCGCGGACAGCCGATAACCACGGACGGCAACGCACCGCAGACAGAGCTCTTCCCACGGTCCGTGACAGTCTGTGTAGATCCGTAACAGTAGTATTTGATTTAACGCAGTGATGCCACTTCTCACGATTTATCGTTAGATCTCACGAATTGAAGACAAATCTCACGATCTCACGATTGACATCTTATACAGGCTTCACACGGTCGGCGATATTACGGACGTAAGCGGACCAGCACGCACCACGCACCGTGGGAAGGGTCTCGTCCGTGGTAGCGCAGGCACGTCTGTGCTGGTCCGTCCTATCCATCTAGAGTCGGTAACATCAAAGGTGCGGTACATGCTCGTGCGACGCGATCCTAGCGCGTCTGTGTTTTAACAGACGACAAATGCAAGTCAGAAGTTTTTTTATTCGCTCTTACGAGTAGTTGTCTGTAGTGTTGTCAAAGTTGTTTTGCAGTTTTTTGCTAAAAAATGGAATGGACAAACGAAGTTATTTTGGATTTTTTAAATTTGTAAATAAATCGTGAGATTTCGCTACAGTTGAATTTTGAAAGAAATGAGAGTTTTTAAATGATATATAATTATACAAAACTATTTTATATACTTTGTATTGTTATATATTAATTATTGTATAAGTACATACTTAAAAATTAGTGTACTAGAAAAGGGTCTACTTTAGGGGAACCACCAGTATCAGATATAATTTTAGGAAATTACCTACCTACCTATATCTATATACTGCAAGCTATGGATTTATCGATTCAATATTAGGCAATGATTATAAACATTCTTTATAGTGTAAACTTCAATGAAAATTATAAACCTATTTTACCCAAGAATATTAAGTATAATAGGTATATATTAGGTAAACATAAACATTTTGTTTTCTGAAGATTTAACATTTTATCGGTACTTGTAGGATTTCAAAGTTATTGAAGATGGAATATAAAGTTATTGTTATATGCAATTGCTGATTTGTTTTTTTCTTAAATTCTTAAATTATTCTTAAATCTCTCTGCGTTGTGTGGTAAAAATGTATATATATTTGAATAACTGGCCTTTTGATTTCTCTGGATTTTTATGAAATAGACTTTGTTTTTGGCGGCATTGTTCAAAATAGTTTTTATCTGCAGGATTTCTAGTCCTGTGTCAATTCCCTCGTAGTTTTCTTTGTTCTGCTATCATATCGCTTATTTCTTTTCGATAATTGTTGCATTTAATTCCTTAAACAGATGTTATTGGTAATTTTTTCTATACTTTTATCAAATTCTTGGTGAATTTTTAATGAGTAAGAGAGGTCAGTAGTTAACTCCTTATTATTACGTATCATAAGACGATATATCTTTTTGATATATCGTCACTGTGAATTGCCACTGAAGCCTGATATTTTATCGGAGCTCCAGAGAACACAAACCTTACTCATCAAAATTCATATAAGTCTATTGCATTTAATATAAAAAATAAACGATATTTTACCTTATATTATAAGCTATGACTAAAATAATTTCTATCGAATGAAATCACCGGCTTTATCAGCTGATAAAGCTGGTTGGTCTCTTCAGTATGTTAGTGATTTCGGCCGTGTTAACAAAGTCGTTTACCAATAAATCGTTTGTCTTTTTGTATATTTACCTCATTCATTATACAGTTTATAAAATTTATATGTATGTATTAAAATTTACATCACTTTAACGGTATTCGTGAAATTGGCAGATTTCGCTAAAACGTAAGTTTTCGAAGTGCTTATTGGTGTATTTCATGGACATGTAGCCGTATTTCGATAATCATTGTTGAGGAGAATCGGTAAGTATTTTGCACAGTACCTTTCCACGATATTGAGCCGAATGATTTTTACATTGAATATGCTAAAAAGTTTTTCTAAATTATTAAATTTTTACCTATACTTTATTTGGTATTGAGAGAGAGATAGGGGAGAGTATGTATACAAAACGGTTACGAAGTGGACATATTTTAATAAGTTTCTACATGCATTGGTTTCTACATAATTTAGTGTTATTATATTATTATAGATATTATACTTTGAAAGTATACTAATCGTGAAGGACGTATCCCAATAGCATTGTTAGCTCTTCCCACTCTGATTTGATTAACTTGGTTTTTGTCAGAATACGTAGGGTCTTTTATTACTGCTAAGAACGAAGTTACCGAAACTTTATTATGAGGTTTTGTTTTAAGCAAATTTTCAATAAAAGACGGAATTTTATTGGGTCGCATTATAAAAATCTTCTGTGTACTTTCAGAAAAATGTAGAATTGCAGTCATGTGGGAGAAACTAAAATACATATGATATATATTACTATATATAACATATATATATATACAAGCGAGTCTACAGCTTTCGCCGCTTCTCGCATCCTAATTTCCAGCGGTTTCTGTCGAAGCAATCTTCAGTTGTTAGATCTCTGGCGTCATTGCATCGTCGACATCGTCTCTCCAGGATCGTCTTGGCCTCGTTTTTTCTAGTTGGCGGAGTCCATTCTTCTATTTTTTTTTTGCCATCTATTTTCCGGCATTCTCTGATATCCATACCAGTTAAGTCTTTTGGCTTCGATTGTGTCTATTATGTCTAGATCGATTTCCATTTCTCTCCGAATATCTTCGTTTCTCACCCTATCAAGTCTAGTGAGCTGGCAACATCGTCTCCAGTAGTTTCATTTCCATGGCCTTAACTTTTGATTGGTTTCTTTGGTTTATTTCCCAGAGTTCGGCGCCGTACAGTCCAATACTTTCTATTATTGTTCTATAAATTCTTCTTTTATTTTCTTTTGTTATTTTTTTATTCCATAATAGTTTATGTAGCTGTCTGGTGGCTGATCTTGCTTGGCCCATCCTGGAATGTATTTCTTCGCTACTTCCTGCTTTTGATGTTATTTGGACTCCCAAGTATTTAAAATTGTCTGTTGGTTTTATATTTCCCATTTCGATTTGTAGGCTTTCTGGTTTTTCTCCTACAACTAAGTACTCAGTTTTTTGTACATTAATTGTGAGGCCCCATTTGGTGGACTCATCTTCCAGTTTTCTAAGCATGTAGCCTACATCACTCTCGTCTTCAGCTAGAATGGCTTGGTCGTCAGCGAAGTGTATCGTGTACAATCTATCATCTCCGATTGGGATGCCCATATTGCAGCACTTTCTTCTCCACAGTGAGAGTGCCTCATTTAGATAAATTTTGAAGAGTGTAGGTGCTATGCAGCAGCCTTGCTTTAGGCCCTTACTAATAGGAATTTCTCTAGTTAATATATTTCCAGATTTATTTATTTATTGTTATTATTACATAATAACAATAACAAATAATAAACAATGCCGAATATGTCTCTGTGCTTGTGGAGTATTGGGTATTACCAGTTCAATATTGAGTAGTTTGATATTTGATATTGAGTTTATTTTTTTACATGCACAGCAAAGGTTGGCCTGGTTGAGCGTGGGAATTTTTTTATCTCGAGAGCATTGTAAGGCACGCCCCCTCTGCATGCGCAGTACCGACTGTGTTTTAAAAATGGCGCTACCTGTCAAATATCGTTTGTCACCTATTAAACAGTCCAATTGTCTTCGTCTGGGATGTCTTCTGTCACTTTGCGTTTGTCAATTCTTTTCTTGCACTTCATCTGGCACTTCTTAGTCGTTTGTGTCAATTATAATCTATCGTCTGTCTTTTCTTTTTTGTCTGTCTTGTTCTTTTCGTCCGTTGATCGTTATATTTTTGCTTAATTCCGGCTATTGATTGCCTATTCGAGCGTTAAAATCCCCCAATATTATCATCTTTCCTCTGACTTGATCTACTACTTGTTGTAATTGGTCATAAAACGTTTCCCTTGTTGTTTGAGGCTTGTTATTTTCTGGGCCGTATACTCCAATGGTGTTCAGGTCTTCCTTCTCCATTCTTATCTTTGCTTTTCAATCCTTTCTGATATGTATTGAAACTTTGATGTGATTCGTTTATTTCCTTCCTCCAAATTTTACTATTATAAGTATAACCGTTCAAAAGATAGGAGGGAGTGACTTTTGTCTAGCACTGTATACTACACTCCTTGGCTGGGTCAATCCATGCCAAGTGGTCCAAAGGCGGATGCTTGACTATTTTTAATATTTTTTATTTTTCCACCTTTTACACTTCAGTATATAGACAGTATAAAATTGCATTCGTTTTATTTTTAAAAATTTATTTTGCCGATGGCGGCCATTTTTGTTTCATCGTGTCGGTCATTTTCACGGAAAACATGGCTTCACTCTTTAGCCAATATTTTCACTTAGGTTTGTCCTAAAACAATAAATCAAGAACCAAACTGTTTAGAAAAGTATGCTCTAAAAAATGGTCCATAGCATTATTTAATTACAAACTACCCTTAATGCCTTAAATTAACCTCAAAGTTTGAAAAGGTAAACTGATTAAATTCCGTTTTCAGCATTTTTTTAACAACATAAGGGAAGCTGATAATAGTTTGCAATTTTTTTCTGGAAAAGGCATACATACATACTTCAAATGAAAAAAGTTTGAGCTTTGAGACCTTTTTTTTCAAAAAAAATCTCAAAAATGTAATTTTTTTAAAAATTTCAAAG